ATCACATCATCCTCATCATAATCACATCTGTTTCCATCTGAGTAATAGTCTCTCCACCCCCGACAGACACACACATACATACAGCAGTGTTCACAGGTTTCCTTGATTAGGACACGAACATGCCTTTGGAGGCCACCATCTAACCTCTCTGTACAATATGCAGTAAGTACACAAACAGGTGGAGATTACTACCAGAGCCATGAGTAAACAAAGCAGGGAGAAGTGACAAGAGTGACATGGATACTGCTTTCACTAAAGGGGCTAGACAGGGCCTCTGTAAGACTTACTTGAAGTAGATGAAGGAAAAGTCCTGCAGGCAGGGATAAGAGCAAGTGCAAAGACTCTAGAGCTAGTTGTATTTGAAGAGGAGAGAGCAGAGAAGAGAGCAGCGTCGTCAGACCTGTGGGGTGGGGCTGGCATTTAATGCAGCTGTTAAGATGACACTAAGGACACCCACATCCCCTTTCAGTGTTCCTGGATTCAAGTCCTGGCTCTGCTTTGGATTCCAGCTTCCTGCTAATGTGAACCCTGGGAGGAAGCGAGTGATGGCTCAAATACTTGGGTCCCTGCCACCCATGTGGGAGACCTGAATTGAATTCCTAGTTCCAGGCTTTGGCCTGGCCAAATCCCTGCAGTTGATTTGGGGAGTGAACCAGCTGATAGAAGATCTCTGTCTCTGTCATGCTGCCTTTCAAATAAAAATAAATAAATATTAGTGGACACAGGTCAAAGAGGCGGATTTTGGATTTTATTTTGAGTATAAAGGAAGTCATTGATAGGTTTGGAGCAGAGGAGTAATTGATCTGACTTCCATTACTGTGGCTGCTGTGTGAGAACAGATAATAGGGAGAGGGCAGTGAGGTGTGTAGTACAGCCGTTTAGAGAAAGACTACAATATTCCAGGCAGGAGATACTAGTCCTAGAAAAGGGGTGGTAGCTTTGGAAGTAGTGAGAAGTAATTTGGTTTGATACACATTTTGAAGGTTGAGCCAACCGGATTTTCAGATTGAGTGAATATATGGGAGGACTTCAAAAAAAATGTAGAAACATGAAACTTAAAAATAAGCTTATTTTGGTGTAAAGAAATGGAAACTCATGCATAATTTTCTACAAAATTCATTTTCCATGCTCTTTGTAAAGATCCCCGCACAGGTATGAAGAAGAGAGGAATTAGGGAGGATGCTAATGTTATTTTTGACTATGTGAGTTGAAGATCAAGTGTAACAGTCAACAGAGATTTGGAAGATGAGGGACAGCAGGTTTGGGGAATCAAGATTCTATTTTTGAATTGGAAATGCTCTTTGGATGATCAAGTGGAGATGTTCTTTAGTCAGGAGAAACTCAGGAGTCTGGTGTTTATGGTGAAAGATGTCTATCTGGATGTCACTGGTGAATTGCTGGTTTTGAAGTCTCCAAGGAGTAAGTATAATTAGAGAAGAGGACCCAAACTGAGCCCCCGAGCTCTTCAGCATTTAGAAATTAGGAGATGGGGAGGAAGCAGGACAGAGGTCTATGAAGGGAGCCAGCGAAGCAAAACCATCAAAGTCTGCTCCCATGGAAACCAAAATAGCACATAACAAAGTGACTGGAGGAAGGAGTGAGCCACTGTGTCAGAAGCTGCTGACAGATCAAGGAAGACGAGGACTGAGAATTTGCCATTTAACTTATCACTAGGGCAGTTAGTAAAGGTCTTGACAAGAGCGACTCTGATGGTGTTGTGACCACAAAATCCATTTAGAGGGAGTTCAAAAGGGAATTGGGGGAAAAAAGGAATTGTAGGTACCTAATTTGGGCAATTATTGCAGGGAGCTTTGCTGTTAAAAGGGAGTAAAGAAATAGAACAGTACCTAGAGGAAGTTCTTCAAAGATCGGAGCTAGTATGACATAATGCCGTCCTGACAGAGTGATCCTACTGAGAGGCAGAAATTGACAACACAGGCAAGGAGGTGAGTGCAGAAGGAAGTCAGTGAGAGAGGATGGAGTCCAGTGCCTAAGCACCCAAGCAGCCCCGGGGAGGAGCAGGACGGGCCCCCCTTCCGACAGAAGGGAACTCACAGTGCGGGAGAGAGAGGCAGAGTTGGGGCATCTGCTAATGGGATGACGGCCATGAGCTTCTAAGGGCTTTCATTTTCCTGGTGCAATCAGAAGCAAAATGGTCAGCACAGGAGAAGGGTGGTAAAAAGTGCCATTTCAGAGGGAATGGAAAAGCCTTCAGGGAGTGGTATCTTATTTTTTTTAAATATTAGATTTTCGAAGGACAACTTGTATTTTCCATTTTTTTAGCACATCTCAATGTTTAAAAAAAGATGCATCTATTTATTTTGAAAGGCAGTGTCGCTCCCCGTCTTCGTGGAGGAACGACACAGGACCTTGCGCTGTTCTTTTGTCTGCTCAGCCCTCCCCGGGTTTGCTGCTGGTTCTTCCCGGGTTGGCTACCGACCCTTCCACCTCCGTGGAAGGGCGGTTCCCCCTGCCACATTCCCCACTTCCGCGGGGGAGCGGCACACCGCCGGCCGGCTCTCTCGGGGGCTGCACAGGTGTTCCTTCAGATGTTCCTCTTAGATCTTCCTCGTGCATGTTGTCTCTCTCCTCCTTTATAGTCCTCTTCCGCCAATCCCAACTCGGCTGCCCACACGCCGAGTACGCTGCTCTCCTCCAATCAGGAGCAGGATCAGCTCCTGGAGGTCATCACTCAAGTTGGCAAGAGGCAGCTGCGTAGAAGCTGTTTTCTCCTCTCCCAGCGCCATATTGTGGGAGAGCAGATGCATAGAATAAGTCTTAATTCCAGTAACTTAGTCTAGTCCGAGTTGCTCCCAGTTGCTCCCCACAAGGCAGATTTACAGAGACTGGGCAGGGCGAGGGCGGGGGGCGGATCTCCCATCTACTGGCTCACTCCCCAAATGGCTACAATTGCTGGGGCAGGGCTGGGCTGAAAGCAGGAGCCAAGAACTCCATCTGGGTCTCCCACATGGGTGGCAGAGGCCTGAGCACTTGGACCATCCTCTGCTGCTTTCCCAGGTACATTAGCAGAGAGCTGGATAAGAAATGGAGCAGCCGGGACTCAAACTGGTGCTCATATGGGATGCTGGCAGGGCAGGTGGCAGCCTAAATGCACTGTGCCACAGTGCTGACCTAATCGTACATCTCAATTTAGACAAGCCGCATTTCAAGTATTGAGTAGCTAAATGTGCCCACTGGCTACATCCTGGACAGACGGGTTGGGGAAATAAAGGCCGCTGGAGAGCACTGAGGGCTCTTGGAGACTGGGGCCATAGAGTGTGATTGGCACAGCTGGGTGGGTGCTCTTCCCCAGCCATGCTCAGAACTCACGTGCGTTTGGGATATAGCCAGAGGGTTGGCCTGAAAATAGAGGTTTTTTGTTTTTTTTTTTTTTTTTTTTTTGACAGGCAGATTGGTCAGTGAGAGAGACAGAGACAGAGAGAAAGGTCTTCCTTTGCCGCTGGTTCACCCTCCAATGGCCGCCGCGGCCAGCACACCGTGCTGATCCGAAGGCAGGAGCCAGGTGCTTCTCCTGGTCTCCTATGGGGTGCAGGTGCCATCCTCCACTGCACTCCCGGGCCGCAGCAGAGAGCTGGCCTGGAAGAGGGGCAACCGGGACAGAATCCGGCGCCCCGACCGGAACTAGAACCCGGTGTGTCGGCGCCGCAAGGCGGAGGATTAGCCTAGTGAGCCGCGGTGCCGGCCGAAAATAGAGTTTTACAGGCAGCATTCAAGCAATGAGGAAAAGGTGAAGGGACGATTGGTGACCTTAAAAATCAAAAGATGGTAAAGATTAACCACAGGATACAATCCACAGAATTTAGAATAGGATAAGAGAGGCATAAAATGTGGTGGGAGCAATGGAAATCCCTGTAGGGTCAGAGACTTTTTCGAATCAGTACCTGCTATGAAACACACAGAGAGGTTTGGAATAATTCTGACTCTCACTCAGCAATCTGATCACGATAGCAATAGCCGTGCTATTAAGATGGTGTACAATAGAGGCAGAGAAGGAGCACAGAATGTGTTCCACGCAAGTCAGGAAGAGAAAGTGTTCACCTGCAGCGAGGGTGGCTCAGGTTCATGGGGGAGGTGGCAGGTAAATCGACCTTGAAATCAGTTAATCAGTCAATGGGAAACATGGGACAAAGCGAGGAAAGGCCACACACACAGATAGAAAAGCACAAATGTTCTGTATTCCTTGGGGTAAGAGCCCAAAAAATCTTAATATTCACAGACAGAACTAGCAGTTACAATCCGGTGGGTAACCTATAAATAATGAGAGGGGATATTTTCCCTGGGGGCAGAGAGACCTCTTCACAAAATAAACTCATTCCCCTCAGAATACAGTGTTTCCAGCAGTGGGATTCTTTTCTGGCATAACTTACCTTATACACACACACACACACACACACATACAGAGAGAGAGAGAGAGAGAGAGAGAGAGAGAGAGAGACGCACTGTTAGCGTTCCTGCAGAATTCAGTCTCCTATCCACAATTCTCTTCTGTGGAAATGATCAGTTACATCTACAGAGAAGCGATATATTTACTTTTCATTTTCTAACGCTGAAAGAAAACCTCTGTTGCCAAATAGGATGAGAATAGATGGGATTAAAAATACTTTGATTATTATCAAAAATTTTTAAAACAGTAGATGCACTTTCACTACACAGACCCACTTTACTATTCTTTGAGAAAATAATCTACACATACATACAGTCATCTTTTTTATCTAAATTCGATGCTATCTCTGTTAAAATTTTAAGAGAAAATCAGCATTTCACTTTCCTTTGGTTCCTAGCACAGTCATCACTGAACAATGGAAAATTCAGTTTTTTCCGCCAAGTAAGTGCAGAGAGTTGTTGCAAAGAAAAAAAAATCACCCTTTCTTTTCCCATTTCTGAATGTTTAGAGAAACCTGCCAGTATATCCACGTCCTCCTTTAGTTCACAAGAATTTCCTACTTTAATAGGAATATTAAAAACAGTCAGAAGATACAGATGTTTCCACATGAGACTTTAATAACACTGTACTTTGTATTTACATATCATATATCCTTGGTACTTCATAGCTCATTATCATGTTAAATTTACAAGTCATTTCATGAAAGCACAAGGTTTGGAAGCCACTCTTCCTGCCCAACAGTAAGTTATTAATGCCAGGACTGGAACTCCTAATTACTGACACATGTGGTCCTACAGCTAAAGACTGCTCCCATAACATAAAACGAAGTACTCAGTAAGTAGAACATCTCAGTGGTCAAATATCCCATTCATTCAAGATAAGTTTAAGAACCATGCAGCTTTAATCATATAAATAACCATATTAAACCTTATAGGTCTATGTTAATATGAATATAGAGTAAGGTGTCATTTGATCAAAACTAACAGTATGAATTAATCAATACAAGTATGTCCATATATAATCCAGAGTGGAATAGATTTCAGAAAGTCAGAAAATAGGTCAACATACTTAAAAATGTGACCTACTGCTTTACAAAATGTCCACTCACATGCTGTCGTTCTGAAGACTAGACCAGCAGCGTGTCTGACTGCTACCTGTGCTATCAAGTCTCCTGGTTGGTAATACAAACATCCATTGTCTACTGACTCAGTTAGGAAGGCAAGGTATCCAGTCCTCTTAACAGTGCTAACTGTGGTTTTCATGCCGAAGTCTTTACCACTCACACGTCTGGGAGATTCTGCAAGATCTGTCTCAAGGATGCACAGGCCACCATGTGGGCATCCGAAGGAAGATTGGCAAGGGACTGGATCAGCTTCTTGACTATGGTCTTCAAGCACTGGTGGGCAGCATTCAAGTCTCTGTCAAACTGCTGTCCTTCGATTTGTAGAGCCAGATGACTGCAGATGTTTCTAAACTCAACACTGTCCTGAAACAAACAGCAAACACAAACAAGAAACTAGAGGTGACGGAGGTATTTGTTGTGTTTTGCTTATCCAGCTTCCATTCCCTTCTCTGCCAGTAACAGCACCCACCTACTCCGATTTTGCCCTAGGAGGGCTACCCTCTTCCATTCTCCTGTGTGGTTTGAACACCCACAATTGCAGAGACCAGACCTGCCAGAGGGTATCATCCCACAGCCTCGTGGAATGGTCAGGAGTGGCAGGTGACCCGAGTCAGGTCACTAAGCCATACTGCCGGGACCTCTGCTTAACTGGGACTTTTGGAAAACAGATTTGCACCACAAGGAGAGCATCTAAATGAGAACAAACCCAACACAGATCAAAGTAGAACAAAGAGATGAAAAGAAACAACTCTAATTACATTTTTCTTGAGCGTGTGGACCTAGCTGTGCTTGAATAATAAACCTTGAGACTTTTTGGTTCTATCAGTCAATAAATATCCCCTTTTTACTTCAGTCAGTTGGAGCTGAGTTTCTGTTACCTGTTCCTGAAAGAGGCATGACAAATACACAAATAGCCTCTGTTCCAATTATTCTGTGCTCACTGTGCTTAAGATTCTAATACAGAATTTATGATTGAATGAACATGGTCTCAAGAAATTCCCAACGTAAATTTAGAGGACAGTTCCAAGATAGTTTAAAAGAATGAAGTATGTCAGTAGATTTATAATCTCCAAATATTTCATATTCTCAAATCCACTGCATTTAAATGGCATACTGAAATTATTCTACATTAGAAAAAATGTTGCGTATTGGGTCTCTTTTAAATACTTCCCTTGAACTCATGGGTTTGGAAACAGGGCACACTTAGTTTCCCCAAAACCCTGTTGCTACTGAATTCCTAGATTTCTGAATAAAACAGAACAAACATCCTTTCTGAGTCTGCAAGAAGGAAGGACAAAATCCCCCAAAGGCATCACTAAAGGAGAAACAGATCGTTGTAGCGGCCTACCGACATCACCAGGAAAAGAAAGTCTTTCCCGAGCTGGGTCTGGAGCGGAGGGCAGTGTCTCATGGACAATGTGTGACTGTGGATCTGCATCACGCAGTACTTGAAGTTTGGAGCTGCCCTCTACGCTACAGTCATGCTCTGGGAACACCTACACTAGGAAATTAACTTAAGAATTTGAAGTGGGCTAAAGTATCCATGGACACATGGCCAAAGTGAACAAAACTCCATTCCAGAAGAACATAGCCACAGCCCATAGGCCACAGTTCTATTCCCATAAGCCTTTGTTGAAGATAAACTCAAAATACAAAATTTAAAATACAATCCACCGTGATAAAAAATACATGCAATAAGGGATGGGATTAAATTCCAAGAATTTCAGATTGAGACTGTGAAATATGTTTAAAAGTATTACAGATACAAAATAAGGAATCAAAAAAATAGTCTTTAAAAGGAACCAAATATCACTTACTTCTAGAAGTGGTGACTATCATTGAATTAAAAACTTACAGCACAGCTGTTAAATATATCTAAGTAACGATTAGTTACCAGGATGATAAAATTACCCAGAATATTAAAAAAAATTAAATATATGAGAAATATGGGTGAGAGGTTAAACAACACAGATGACAGAATGAGGAAGTTCAGTAAATGCATTTCCCAGAGAAATGACAGAGAGGCAATGTCCACCAAGGACAAAAGAGGAAAACTGTCCAGAGATGATCCAAAACATGAATCCTTATATTCGGGAAGAAAAATGAGCTCTCATCAGAATAAGTTAATTTAGATCTAAATCTAAACTCACTGAGCAAAATTACTCTGAAGAGCAACTACAGGAAAAGATAAATGAGTTTCAAGGGATGACAAGAGAGATTGCTAACTTCTCACCACAGCAGATGAAAAGAGAAGAGAATGGAGAAATATTCTCAAATAACCGTCTACGTAGAATGATTTTAACCATACTAGGCAATCATTTATAACCCAGGGCAAAATAAATATACTGTCACTTAAAAGGACAGGATATTTGCACTAATGGACTCTCACTGTTAGATCTTTCTAAAGATGTAATTTAGGAAGAAAATTTAACTCAAGGAATGAGAGACAAGCGACAGTGAGTAAGCTTAAAAACGGGTGTACATCTAAAAAAACAGTGTTTAGAACAGAAAGTATGACAACTAATGGGTTTACAGCAGTAAGAAGCTTCCAAAATGCTGCACAGCAACAAAACGTAGGATGGAGTGATGTTCTGGACACCTGATCAATCAAAAGAAAGGTGGTAAACCTGACAAATTTCTGACTTAATTGTGTGTGTGAAAAATGTAAGAGTTATCAGTAAAAGTAGAGAAATAATACATAAAACTTTAAAACAAGCTGGGGAAAAATGTGTTAAAATTTTATGTTTAATAAGAGTGGGAATAAGAGAGGGAAGAGATGTTTAATTTGGGACATGCTCAAGCTGACTTGCCCCAAATGGTAGAGTTAGACACATACCAGGGGATTCCAATTCAATCCCATCAAGGTGGCATGTACCAATGCCATCTCACTATTCCAAGTGATCAATTTCAGTTCACAATTGATCATAATGAAAGGACTAAGAGTCAAAGGGAGCACATAAACAAGTCTAGTACCTGCTAACACTAACCGATAGAATAAATAAAGGGGAGAGTGATCCAACATGGGAAGTGAGATACTCAGCAGACTCATAGAATGGCAGATGTCCTAAATAGCACTCTGGCCTCAGAATCAGCCCTAAAGGCATTCGGATCTGGCTGAAAAGCCCATGAGAGTATTTCAGGCATGGAAAGCCAAGACACTCTGGCAAAAGATCTCTGTGAGTGAGATCCCAGTGGAAAGAACAGGTCTTCAAAGAAGGAGGTACCTTTCTCTGAAGGGAGGAGAGAACCTCCACTTTGACTATGACCTTGTCTAAACAAGATAGGAGTCGGAGAACTCAGAGGGCTTCCATAGCCTTGGAAACTCATGACTGGAGCATAGGGAGATTACTGATGCCATAGACAGGAGTGTCAATTGGTAAAGTCAACAACAGGAGTCACTGTGCACTTACTCCTCATGTAGGATCTCTGTCCTTAATGTGCTATGCATTGAGATTTAATGCTATAACGAGTACTCAAACAATATATTTCACTTTGTGTTTCTATGGGGGTGCAAACTGTTGAAATCTTTACTTAATGTATACTAAACTGATCCTCTGTAAAAAAAAAAAAAAAGAAAAAGAAATTATCAACTCCCAACTTGACTCTCACTGGGATTAAACATGACAATAGGTCTGATCTGATTTCATCATCATTTAAAAAAAATCATCTATTATTTTTCACTTTATGTTTCTGTGTGGGAGCAAACTGTTGAAATCCTTACTTAATGTATACTAAGCTGATCTTCTGTATATTAAGATAATCGAAAATGAATCTTGATGTGAATGGAAGGGGAGAGGGAGTGGGAAAGGGGAAGGTTGTGGGTGGGAGGGACGGTATTGGAGGGAAGCCACTGTAATCCATAAGCCGTACTTTGGAAATTTATATTCATTAAATAAAAGTTAAAAAAAAAATTTTTATGTTTATAGTTATGGAAGGTGAACATGGAGAAGTAAAGGTACAATATAAAGCAAAATAAAGAGAAAGCCCCAAATAAGATAGACAGTAGAAGTGAATCAAAATATGTCAGAAAACACAATAAATGTAAACTGATAAACTCATCTTTTGAAAGATAGTGGTGTACGGTGCTGCGGCTTACTTGGCTAATCCTCCACCTGCAGCACTGGCACCCCGGGGTTCTAGTCCCGGTTGGGGTGCCAGATTCCGTCCCGGTTGCCCCTCTTCCAGTCCAGCTCTCTGCTGCGGCCCGGGAGTGCAGTGGAGGATGGCCCAAGTGCTTGGGCCCTGCACCCGCATGGGAGACCAGGAGGAAGCACCTGGCTCCTGGCTTCGGATCAGCATAGTGCGCTGGCCATGGCGGCCATTTTGGGGGTGAACCAACGGAAGGAAGACCTTTCTCTCAGACCTTTCTCTCTGTCTCTCTCTGTCACTGTCTAACTCTGCCTGTCAAAGGAAAAATATAATACAAAAAAAAAAACCGTGGATAGTGATTACCAGACTGGATTTTTAAAATCTATCCTTATGCTGTTTATAAATAACAAATCTAAAGCTAAAACCACAGGAATATTAAAAGTAAATATCTACTAAGATATATATCAAGCAAAGAGAAGCCAAAGCAAATCTGGAAAAATCATTATTAGAAAATAACCTACACTCAGCCGGCGCCGTGGCTCAATAGGCTAATCCTCCACCTTTTGGCGCCGGCACACCGGGTTCTAGTCCCGGTCGGGGCGCCGGATTCTGTCCCGGTTGCCCCTCTTCCAGGCCAGCTCTCTGCTATGGCCAGGGAGTGCAGTGGAGGATGGCCCAGGTGCTTGGGCCCTGCACCCCATGGGAGACCAGGAAAAAGCACCTGGATCCTGGCTCCTGCCATCGGATCAGCGCGGTGCGCCGGCTGCAGCGGCGGCCATTGGAGGGTGAACCAACGGCAAAAGGAAGACCTTTCTCTCTGTCTCTCTCTCTCACTGTCCACTCTGCCTGTCAAAAAAAAAAAAAAGAAAAGAAAAGAAAAGAAAATAACCTACACTGCATAAAAAGAATGAGCACCCAAAATATATAATAATATACTTGTGTGTGCCTAATATGATAGCCGTAATATACACTGAATCCACAAACATAATGACTGGTTTTACCCAGATTTCTCTCAAAATGATGGATCAAACAACAAAACAATCAGCCTCAACAGAAAAGACTGAAAAACACGAATCACAAGCTTTCCAGTGTGAATAAGCAAATGTACATTATTCTCAGACACACATGGAATATTTATGAAAGCTGGCTTTAGTATAACATCATAAAGCAAATCTCAGCAAAGGTCAGAAAATCTGCATCACATAAATCACCAAGCAAGTCAATGAGAAATTAGTAACATAGCCGACCTTATCAAAATGTGCATGATGTAAAAC